AATGTAGATGAGACATTAGGGACATATGTCTGCTTATACATTCTAGTGGTGCAGGTAAGTCTTTACACAATGTTATCAGTGTACAGTTTTGTTGCTTACAAAGATCATTGGTATCAGTTTAAAGCAAATCTAATCATGCATTCTTGATTTGGAGCAAACTGTGTGCAAAAAGCATGACAATGAAATATGTTGCTATGGAACTACTATGGACTTTGACTGAGCAAAAATATTTTACATTTCTTGGTGTTCCATCACTACATAAAAGCAGTCATTTTGAAGTTTGCAAGTCAAAAGCTCTAAGTAGAATTTTCTCAGACAAAAGACAAAATGGGGATGCACAATAGAGCAGTGGGTAGCGGCCTGGGGTATTGCTGTATGGGGTTTGTATGTTCTCCCTATGCATGCATGGGTTCTCTCTGGGTACTTTGGCTTAGTTTTACAGTCCAAAAAGAGGACTATTAGGTTAACTGGCTTCTTTAAATTCTCCTTAGGTGTGTGTGTGCATGGTTGTATGTCTTTGTGTATCTTTGTGTTTCCCTGCGACCTGTCCAGGGTATACCCAGCCCCTCGCCCACAGACTGCCGCAGATAGGCACTGGCATCACTGCGACCCTGATAAGTAGGATGGATGGATCCAAAATGGCTTCCTGTTGGGTTTGGACCCTTGTTCAAAGAGACTTTTTTGTACAACCTTCGAAATTACTTATATGCCCTGCTTGGGACAGATTGTTTTAATGTGAATCCATCATGTTAATTTTGATCAGATCTGATCAGATATGTAGAAATGCAAGCCAAACACATGTCCAAAAGCATTAGTATTGGTATTAAAATGACAGCAACTTCTGTGAGGTCAGTGATTGATTCTCTCTCTCTTCTCTGCAGGGTGTGACAGGCAGGTACGGTTAATCTTGATTAATTAGGAGCCTACTTAAGGAGCTGGGACCAGGGGGAGGGCGTCAGTTCTTTCTCGCTACCAGCGTGGTATATGACCAACCAACTTTGCTCCTAGATATTTCTGAGCCAGCTCTAATTCCGTGTCTCTGTCTTTTCCCTCCTAGTTCACCATCCAAGCCAACAGAACATTCAAGCCTGGACCTTCCTCATCATTTGGATCTCTCAGGTCACAATCAGCCTCAGCCCTCCTCCAGCAGCCCGCCTGTTCACCCTCCTACACACCATCACCAGAGAGAGAGAGACTCAATTTGCCCCTGGACCCAGGACACCATCCTTCCAAGCCTAAGACAAACCGTCACATTCTCCTCCTTCCCTCCTCCTCTTACCAGTTATTCACCATTACCCTAATCTTTTCCCCAAGCAGAACCCAAGAAGATCCTGCCAGACACTATTTCCTGCTCTCTACTAAATAAATCTCTTCTTCAATCTCACTGACTGTCTCCGTAGTTTCCCTGATTCAGAGTCGTTCTTCTCTAAATATTACAGATTGACCATGGTGTACTGTATTGTCTGGGACCGGCTGGGAGAAATCACTGAAGGGTTTTTGTTGTATCTGCAACTTTCTGTGTAGAAGCCATATCAATTTGAATTTGAAGTCCGACTCCCCCTCCCTTTGTTCTTGGTTAGGGTGCAAGAGACTTTAAGTTTAGGAAATTCTTTAAATTTATTAACATTCATACACCTACAACAAAGTAAGTGAAATGAGGATGTTCTTTTATTTTTTTTTAAGGGGATGCTGTAGAACCATTTCTCATGCGTCTTTTTTGAAACACTTAAATTATGTAATTTTCCACCAGGCCAGATGTAGGGGCTAAATTTGTTGAGTTTTTATATATTTTAGGTATAGTGGGTGAGGGGTGCACAAGCTGTGCACATACATGAATTCATAGCAAATTTTAAAAAGTACTGAAAACACAAAAAATGAGTAAAATGGCCAACCAGAGTGATATTTTTGTAACACTCAGATTTAGTTTGACACGTTATTAATATGGGTCTGTCCCCACAAAATATTCTTCGAAAGAAGGAACTTTCAGTTCAGTTTTATCCAATTACAGGAGTGAGTGAAATGACAAAAGGCATGAGAAACCACGGCAACCTATGTTCTTTCAAAGTCAAGAATTCTGACAAAACATGTAATAGCAGTGAATATGCATGTCTTCCTGCGCATCCATGTATATTTTGGTTTGGCTGTGGGTCCAGCTTGTTTTTGTTAATTCAGCCTACAGGAAAAGAAAAAAAAAAATGACTAGCAAATTCAAAAATTAGAGTAATGCACAAACAGACAAAACAAATCCAAAGAGGGCATGCTACAAAGGAGAAATGTTGTCAGCACAGAAAATGAAGATGCAAAGTGGAAACATGCAACAAACCCAAAAACTATAATGCCACCACAATGCGACAAATGCGAGGCTTATTTGTAAAATTCACAATTCAGTATATGCAAATTTCAAGGTGCTTGTACATGAATTAGACAATAAAACTGATAAAAATTAAAAGCACAGAAAAAGCTAATCAAGATAAGTACATGATAAAAACAGGAAGTAAAACAAAAAAACACTTGGACCACATCCCTAAACTAATATTACATCAGTTAGCAGTTTAACATCCACAGTCAAAGGCAGTTCTAAACAAACATGTTGTTTTAACTTTGACTTAAATTAACTCAGGCTTTCAGCAGTTGCACAGTCTTTTGGAAGTTTGCTCCCTATCAGTGGATCATAGGAACTGGATGCTGCTGCTCTGTGTTTGGCTCTAGTTCTGGGTTTACAGAGTAGGTTGAATATTGCTAACACTCTGATGGGTTCATAGTCACCTGGTGACATTGTGATGTAAAGCTGTGTTATGTTTGCATAGTTATGGTAACGGATTTTGTTGTTTGCTATAACCTGAGCTAGGGGGAGCGTGTAGAGATTGAATAGCAGGGGCCCCAGAATGGAGCCTTGAGGAACCCCACATGTGATTTTTCTGGTCTCTGATTTTAAAGTTCTGGTCCCTGATTTAAAATCCCTGTCCTTCAGGTAAGATTTAAACGAGTCATGTGCTGTACCAAAATGGCCGACCCAGTTTTACAGATGCTCTAATAAGATCATGTGATCAACATTATCAAACACTGCCCTCAGGTCCAATAATAACAGCACCATGGTTCTTCCAGAGTCTGAATTTATACAGATGTCATTGAAAACCTTAATCAAGGCAGTCTCTGTATTGTGGTTGGCCCAGAAATCTGACTGGGAGACATCAAAGCAGCTGATTACTGTTAAGAAGGCATTTAACTGTTGAAATACAACTTTTTAAAATAATCTTACTGATGAAGGGGAGGTTTGAAATGGGCCTGTGGTTCTGTGGGACCAATTTGTCCAAGTTTTTCTTTTTTAACAATGGTTTGATAATTGTTGTTTTTAAGGCCTGGAGGAAAACACCAGACATTATGTTTCAAATCAAATCAAACTCTACAACAGGTAAAACCCTATTAATAAAAAATGTCAAAAATGTAACATTTTTGACATTTTAAACTGAAAAAGGTTCCTGGATGGGAAGCGAAAACGTCTTCAAACTTGGAAACAAATTCCAGTGGATTGTTTTTTTAATTTTTCTGGAATATTTTATGTGGTGTGTGTTAAAAACTATCAATACCATTTGTATGAATTTATTACAAATTGGTTTGATTATATCAGTAATTAGTTAACTTCAAAGTTACAGGGTTTACTTATGCTAAAATCTGTGTGTCAAGCTAAATACTCAACGATCTAAAGAGCTACTCAAAATCCAGGAGAGTGTGGCTACAGAGCTGGATGCGAATAGTGGTCATTACCACTATTTAGGTGTTTATTTAAAATATATATATAATTCTAGTTGAATGAATATTTAAGATCTCTGTGCTTTTGAAAATCAACAATAGTTTTTTTTTTTTGTTTCAAAACTGGATTCATAGATTTCATGAATTTCTCCTTGAGCTGCTTTTGCCATGTTAGCCATGTTATGTTGAGATTTTCTAAAATTGTGTTTTAAAACATTTCATCATCTTATCATGTCATCATTTTTAAGGCCTGCGTACGTGTACTTTTCAGAGAGTCAAGGCTTGCTTTTTAATTCAATTTAAAAACACTTCATTATTCCAAAAGGGAAATTAAATAAATTTCAGAGAAGTTTTATAAATCATTAAAAAATCTCAGGATAATATAGACATGAACCTTAATAGAGCAAACTTTGATTTGTTAAACTGAATTGATTTATGGAATGTTGCAACCTTTGGCCCCATTGGCTTCAAAGAGCCTTGCCTCATCCCATCATGGTCGCTAGACAACATACGTAAGTTACGCTGCGGTTGGAGGAGGTTGCAGCTAGAGAAAGCCCAGATTGTATGAATTCACGTAATAAACACAATGCTTGCTGTTTTACCTGTTTTGGTTTAATTGCATAATGAATTGCTTCCCAATTGATGCAGCATTAATCTGAGTCAGCTTGTGCAGACTTTTTTTCTTCCACCGATACAAATTTCTCACTCTCCATATATATTTAAATGCACAAATACTCTCTGTGCCTTGTCCTTCATGGCACCAATGTCTCCTTTGACCTTTGGGGAAATATAGCCCACAGAATTTATTTGATTTGCACCAGACTTTCACAGATAGTCTGATTAACAAAGACACAAAACCTGGGGCCACAGCTGCATATTCTACACCCATAGATCTGTGCAGTTTGGACATTATGTTTGCATACTACTAGCTGACCTCCACACCCTACCTGCTTTGCACCTTCTTTAAAGATCTTCAGTGAGGTTTATCCTTTTTTTTTATTGCTAATTGCAAATTATTGCCATCCTCAATGATGAAATTGGAGACATCTAATTCCTGACTATATGTTAAAGTTAATCTAAATATCAGATAACTTTAATTAGAAATCTATGGCTTTCTATGGTTTCCCTGGAGAATAAACATGAGATTAGGACTAAAATATCTCCACATTCTGTTCTTTAAAATGGGAGAAATAGGAGAACATACCATTAAATGCTACCATCAGATGTTGCATTAGGATACGCTGGGGGAGTGAACGCTGGCACGACTTGCTGCCGCTGCTCGCCGGTATTTTTGTATTCGTTGCTCACTGCCTTCGCTCACCGGTAACTTTTAAACTTTTTTACTTTCTAACGGACAGTCTAATTGTTTTTACTGGGATTGTTTTTACTGGGAATACGACCACGATTCGTCAGCACTACAGGACTGTGTGAGTCCCAACTAGGCTACTACCAGTAGCTCACCTGTCCTGCCTCGTTTTCAGCCTCACCTGGCGTTTTTAATAATGTGGACCGGCAGGACATACACCCTGCTTGTCTGTATCTGGATATTCCTACTGCCCGCTCACCTGCAAGTGGCGGGTTTGCTGCAGTATTCACCCGCTGACCTGCTCCGGCTCCGCTGTCACTCCCTTGGACCTGCGCCCGAGGCTCTCCACCTTCACCCGGACATCACCTTCCAGCCACGTCGGAGATACATCCACCGAGGTTCCCGTCGGATTGTCCACCGCAACGGTTCAACAGCAATAAAATCCATCTGGTCCAGCTCCCGACGGTGGATTCGTCGCCCTCCATGCTCCACCAGCCGGGCTGTCGACCACAGCGTGTTAGCCCGCCTAGCTCGGTCGGCTAGCACCACCACCAGCTGCGACAACAACGCACTCAACTTTGCTCTGCTCAACATCCGTTCACTGACAAGCAAGGGACATCTCATTCAGGATCTCATCACTGACCGTAAACTGGACTTTCTCTGCTTAACCGAGACCTGGCAACAGCCCCAAGATTACTCTCAGCTCAACGATTCCACTCCTAGTGGGTTTGTTTACATCTCTCAACCCCGTGGTTCCGGTCGCGGAGGAGGTCTCGCGATAATTCATCGCGAGAATTGGAAAGTCTCGCCGGTATCAGCTCCAGTTTCAAGCACGTTTGAATCCACAGTCTGCAAGCTATCTGGTCCAACTCCAACCATCATTGCTGCTGTCTACCGCCCCCCAAAACCGAATAGTGCCTTTTTAACTGAGTTTGCTGATTTTCTCACCCACCTATCCTCTCTCTCACCAAACTTAATTCTGCTGGGTGATTTCAATATCCACATGGACAACACCAATTCGCCTCTTACCAAAGACTTTACTTCCTGCCTAGAGAGTTTTGGATGTCAGCAATACACCACTACCCCCACACACACCAAAGGACATATTCTGGATTTAATCTGTTGCTCTGGTGTCATCCCCCACAACATAACATCTGATGAACTCCCCATAAGTGACCATTTTCTCCTCTCATTTGCAGTTAATCTTACTCTCTCAGTCTCTAAAACATCCCGCCTCATATCCTTCCGGAACATAAAGAAAATTGATCCCTCCACCCTTATTTCAAGTATCCACTCATCCTGCCTCCTTGACTTCAATAATCTACTAACCCCTGATGATCTGGTTTTTCATTACAACACTGGTCTCCATAATATTCTTGACTCACTTGCTCCTCTAAAAAATAGATTTGTTTCTTTCTCTGTCTCCTCCCCCTGGTACACCCCAAATCTCAGAAACATGAAAACCAAAGGACGGCAACTTGAAAGACTTTACAGAAAAACTGGTCTTACTATACACAAAGAAATGTACAATAATCACATTATGCACTATAAGGACTCCATTGCCAGCACCAAATCACAGTACTACTCCAACTTAATCACTGCCAATCAACAGAGCTCTAAGTCACTTTTCTCTATACTTAACAATACCATCAAACCCCAGGACCCTTTCCCCCTGCACCTTTACACAACCTCCTTCTGCAATGACATCATGTCATACTTCACAGAAAAAATCAAGAACATTCACCAGAACCTTGGATCAACGGCTCATCTCAACAACTCAGCAGATCTCCCCCCGCCTACACATTTATTCTCCTCCTTCCATCCTCCCACTGTCTCGGAAATCACAGAGCTCATCCGGAAATCCAAATCATCCACCTGTCAATTGGACCCCCTCCCAACACAACTTGTCAAAACCTGCCTTCCCTCTCTGGCTCCCCTCATCTCCGCTATCATCCACTCCTCCCTCACCACTGGAACTGTCCCTACACCTCTCAAAACTGCTGCCATCACCCCGATTGTAAAAAAAACCTGGTGCCGACCCCACCAACTTCAACAACCTCCGTCCTATCTCCAATTTACCCTTCATCTCCAAAATTCTTGAAAAAACAGTTGCCTCCCAACTCCATTCTCACCTATGTGCCAACAGCCTGTATGAAGAATTTCAGTCTGGTTTCCGGCCACTCCATAGCACTGAAACAGCACTCATCAAAATCACCAATGACCTCCTCATGGCATCTGATTCTGGACTACTCACCATCCTCATCCTCCTCGACCTGAGTGCAGCCTTCGACACCATCTGTCACACCACCCTCCTCAGTAGGCTTTCTTCCATTGGCATCACGAGCACTCCGTTGGACTGGTTTATTTCTTATTTTTCTGATCGCACTCAGTTCATTCAACTGAAGACCCTCAAATCCACCCCCTCCCCCGTCACCTCAGGTGTGCCCCAGGGCTCTGTTCTGGGGCCTCTGCTCTTCATCATCTACCTCCTTCCCCTTGGCAATATCTTCCGTAAATTCAACATCCACTTCCATTGCTATGCTGATGACACCCAGCTCTACCTCACCACGCAGCCATCGTCCTCTCTTCCGCCCACCTCCCTCAGAAATTGCATCTGTGAATTAAAGGCCTGGTTCACCAACAACTTCCTTCAATTAAACAGTAGTAAAACCGAGGTTCTCCTCATTGGTACCAAATCAACTCTTTCCAAAACCGACAGTTTCCAGGTCACTATTGATAGCTCCTCCATCTCCCCCTCCCCCCAGGTTAAGAGTCTGGGTGTCATCCTCGATAGCACACTATCTTTCCAATCCCATATAAATAACATTACCCGGTCTGCCTACTTCCACTTAAGAAACATCAACCGCCTCCGTCCCTCCCTTACCCCACACACTACTGCCATACTTGTGCACAGCCTTGTCACCTCCCGACTAGATTACTGCAACTCCCTCCTCTTTGGACTTCCTCAGAAATCACTCCACAAACTACAACTGGTCCAGAACTCAGCTGCTCGCATCATAACAAGAACTCCCTCTATCCACCACATCACTCCGGTCCTCCGACAGCTCCACTGGCTCCCCATACAGTTCCGCATTCAATATAAAATTATCATGATGACTTTCAAGGCACTTCACCATCTTGCCCCCCCATATCTGTCAGACCTCCTGCATGTTCCCACCCCCTCCCGTGCTCTTAGATCCTCATCTGCTTTGCACCTGTCTGTCCCCTCCGCCCGTCTCACCACCATGGGGAGCAGAGCATTCAGCCGCTCTGCCCCCCGCCTCTGGAACTCTCTACCACCCCAACTTCGAAATACGGACTCAATTCTCCATTTTAAAATACAACTCAAAACCCATCTGTTCAAGATTGCTTATTCTCTTTAAAAATATCAATTTCACTGTCACAGCCTCTGTATTTTTAAATGTTTTTAAATGTTTTTATAATTATAATTTTTATTTTTTCTGACACTTTTTATGTTTTGTACGGTGACCTTGAGTGTCCAGAAAGGCGCCTTTTTAAATAAAATGTATTATTATTATTATTATTAAAGGAAGGCAGATGTGTGTTGATCTTTTTGTAATATGGATAAAAAGAAAATATGTATTTATGAAACAGGGAACATGTGATTAAAATAATTTTAATTATTGTGACACCCATATTTTCCATCATTGCCATAGTGTTCATAAACCCTTTTCTGCAAGCCCCTTTATTTCAATCTTTGAAATGTAATAGGTTTTCTGCATGACGGTTGGTTCCCATCAGGATGGTTATAGATCATCCAATGGTCTAAACGAGAAGTGTTTAACGTGGGGGTCTGGAACCCCATAGTGGTCTGAACGGATTCTGCAGGAGTGTCAGTGATGTTTTTTTCTTTTAGAAAAACGTATTTTTCTTACCTTTGCAAAGCTATGAAAAGTTTGCATTAATCTCTCTTAATGGTTCTGGTTTTGCTTTTTTGTTGTGAAGTATTTTCAAGCAGAAATTAGATGTAAAACGCTGCCTGAAGTTACATTTTTCATCATCAGCACCTCAGCCTCCTGTCTGATGTTAATGCCTTTGTCATCAGTCTCTTCATCATGGTTAGGGTGAGGGTTATGGTCCTGCACAGGGGTAATTCATCCATGCAGCTCATTGCAGTGGTCACTGTTTGGTAGGTTGGAGTTTGTCCTGTACCCGATGGGTTACTAGTTCAAACCCCAGCTCTGTCCAGTCTCAGTTGTAACCTTTGGCAAGATGCCTTATCTATCTTGCCTGCTGCTGGTGGTCAGAGGTGGTGCTGATTGTTTATGATATTATATTGTCTGTCAGCCTGCCCCATTGAAGCCGTGGTTTACAATGTAGCTTGCCACCATCAGTATGTGTATGAGGATAAAAAATTAATACAAAAGCAGCCCCTTTTGTATGCTAAATTCTGGCCAGTCCTAGTACTTAGGATTAAAATTTCCATTCATTTCAAAAATGCCTTATCTCAAAGGGAAATTAAATTTATTGAATTAAAATATAGAAACATGAAATTTATTAAGCGACCATATATGTTGTCTGAGCAATACTTGTTAGTTAGTAACCAGACTGGATGAGAAGTTGCTCTTTTGTTGCTACCACTGAGTTATTGTAGGATATAAAAAAAAAAATAAATAAAACTCCCAAAACTGTTAAACCATTGCAGTAAAAAGTGACATCCCAAGTTTACAAAGTGTCCATAAAGACCATGTGTTACTCTCTCACCATAAAAAAGCATTTCTGCTCTACCACTGAACATGTAAACATATCATTTAGGAAACTGACTGAAGCACAAAGTTCTACACTCAGAGGGATAATGTGTTTTGGCCAAGCGAGATAAGGCTGAGTTTTTTTTTTTTAGAAAAGATTGTTTTAACTTGACACAAATACTGAATATGTAGAAAAGCACCAAACGGCTGCTGGTGCAGCAGACTAAGTAGAGACTCCCAGACTTCCCTCTCCGCAGACACCTCCTCCAGCTCCGTTGGGGGAAGCCCTAGGCGCTCCCAGACCAGCCGAGACCATTCTTACCACGGCTGCTGGTAAGCATGGTAAAGGATCTGTGAAGCTGTGGGCCGGTTTCTCTTCCAAAGGTGACCAAGACCTCATTTGACTGCAAGAGCCTTAAGCTCTGAAATACAACTCTCATTGCCTCTATTAGATGATTGAAACAGGACTACGAACCCTAACCACTGGCCTAGTCAATACAGAAGAGACACCAATCAACCTTCCTCCATGTCTATCCCAGTCTTGCCTTACATCCTGTAAAAGAACAAGGGTGAGCTGATGAGATGAGAGCAGAAATGACCCAGGATGAACCACTTTGGTACCAGAGTCAACACATAACCGAAATGTTAATTGGTTAAAACCATTTCTACAAAATTAAATAACCATTATCAAAAGCATCAACAACTAAAGTTGGCTTTGCCCATTTTAAACTGATGCATTTATATCTATAACCAGTTTAACATAAAAGTGTTATCGTTTGGTTTATTTTCTGGAGTGATCTAAATACTCCATAATGGTTGATCAAGGACCTTAAGATGGGTCATGAACTCAACTTTAAGTTCTTTAGACGTTCTTTTTTAAGGTCTAAAAAAGTAAAGATCTTCTTGCAACTATCTTGTAAAATATAAACTATAGGTTTAGACGTTTGGAGGGCATAGGGACCCCCATTTCATCATTCTGCTTCATTCTCTCTCTATTCTCCTATTCTGTAGAATCTGTTAGTTCAATCTCTAACGTTATGCTCTCTCTGCTTTTCCTCAGAGTAGCTTTGCCTCGTCTGTTCCTGTTTAGCTGTGACGCCATCCTGGAGAGAAACATCAGCTGTGCTGCTTCCATCAACACCCTTGTTTATAGATGCTGGAGATCGGCCTGTTTTCCAGTGTGGTCCTGTGTCTCTGACCGTGACTGGCTGGATGTGCTCTCTTCGTCCTGTAACATGGGAGCTGGCTCGGAGCTCGTCTGCCTGGCTGTGTGTTTCCTGGACGGGGCCGCATTTTACAGCTGCTTTTTGTATCTCTGCTTCTGTCTCCTTAAACCCCAGTCGGCCTCGGCAGATGGCCGCTCACACTGAGCCTGGTTCTGCTGGAGGAATCTTCCTGTTAAAAGGGAGTTTTTCCTCTTCACTGTCGCTACAAGCATGCTTAGTGTGAGGGATTGTATTTGAGTCAAGGAGTCGATGCAATCAACTGGTTTTCCTTAGAACACTTTGAATCAATTTGACTGTATGATCTGGTTGAACTGTAAAGTGCCTTGAGATGACATGTGTTGTGAATTTGGCGCTATATAAATAAACTGAATTGAAAATGTTATAGGTGGCTATGAGTTGGTTAGACACATGATTAAGACAATTATAAGTTCCTATGTGGCTTGTTTTTTTAGCCAGCATATAAATAAATAAATATGTTGAGACTAAAAAAAGAAGAACAAAAACAGATAATCCTGCTTCACTAAAAGGTTGGGCTTCTTAATCACTAGGTGTTGCTTCAGATTTACCCAAACACACACACACACACAAAAATAGAAATACTGGATGATTTTTAGACTTCTGCTGGACTCAAAGGATCTGTCAAATGCAATTTGACAGAGCATTAAGAACCAGTGGGTTGGTGTGCCACAGATGGCAAATAGACCTGGAGCAACGCTTCGAATGATCTGTGGGTTTATGGCTTGGCTGGGGTGGAATAAGGACAGCAAAAAGTGTGCATTTCATTTATTGTCTCCCGTTCACACGTTCCATTAGAGGAGGCAGAGCAGCGTACCGTTGTTCTATAATTTACAAAACATAAATAAAAGCTGTTTGCATATCAACAGTAACTGATGTAAACATCCAACTCGCTGTGGTAAACGCATATTTACAAACACTCCAACAAAGGCTCTCCCCTTATCATTAAAATATTTTGTTTTTAATCAGTTCACTGCTTTCATGTCTTCTTTGCCCAAACACTCAGATTATTAGTCTTTGCATAATGAAGCAGGACTAAACCAAGGCAGGGAGAGAGATAGGTTTCTTATTTTAGTTGTATTTACATTTAAAGTTAGAGCTTATTTGAACAACAGAATAAGATGGATACCAAAACAACTTGGAGTTGTTTAACATTCATATTCATGTGTTGCTACAAGAACAAACCAAAAGCAGCTGGTTCAGCATCCGTTTCATCTCTAGAGGCAGGAGGGTTCCTTGATTTAGCGAGTCCACCCTTGCTGTTCGCTCCAAAAACAATCCGTCGACCAGAAACACATCCTACACAGGATGGTCGGAAACTGCGTCTCCATTCCTCAAACATACTTAATCATATCTACAGACAAACAAAGACTTGGTTTTAAGGATCTCCTGCTCTGGATTAACCAAACACTTTGCTCTTTGAGCCTACCAAGCAGTCATCCCTTTCCAATTTATTGGAGAAAAACTTAGGTGCCTCTCTGCCACAAGGTTTCACATTTTAAAATCTCCCCCATATTTTTATGATTGTATTTTGCAGCTTTAAAAAAAACACAAAAAAAACTCACAAACAAACCAGCAAAAACAAACAAAACAAACTAGTTTTGCCGGCCAGAACATCCTTTCTTCACAAACAAGTAATCCAACAACTGGGACAATAAATCCAATCTGTAAACTGTACAATATTAAGAAGCCTTAAAGGCTCCTGCTTTTTTTTAAGATTCTGTAAACAAACACAAATCAGGTTAGTAAATCCTTATGGTGTCTTAAAATACTCTCTAAAGCTGGCTGTTGTAGAGAAAAAGAGGGGAGAGAATGGAAACCTTCCAGTCAAAGGCTTTCTCTTTCTCCTTTCCTCTCTGGTAGTTCCACCATTGCACAACAAAGCGAACTGGCCTTGTTCTGGTTGAATTCTCTTTTGTTAATCGAAGGTCCGATGTTGAGCCACGGCTGAGTGGATCGACTGGAGGACCAGGATGGGGGAAGAGATCCACCCCCTTAGGTCAGGTCTCACTCTTCGTCTGCATTCTTCAGCATGAGGATGGAGTTGTAGATCTTTAAAGCGGGTCCGAGCTTGATGGACAGAATCTTAACGATGTCTGCTTGGGTGAGAAGCAGGAAGGCCTCGCCATCAATTTGCTAAATAGACACAGAGAAAAAGAATTATTTTCTTAATTTTTTTATATTAAAGCAGTTAAATAAATTCAGATGTACAAATGTATAAACCTACAAACTAAATGCATGAGTTTTGAAGGAAAACGTTTCTTTAGACCTGGTATACAGTCTTTTGGAAAAGTGTTCCTACCAAAGGTCAGATGAAAAACTTTAGATTAATGATTAGATTAACTGAGCAGAATACTCAGGGAGGGGGATTCGAAGAGGTTTGAAGCAAAAATGGATTTTAAACTATCACAGCTGATGTAGAGGATAAAGCCAAACGTTTGGAGGAAGCAACTCTTATCAGATTAGACCGAAACTGATATTTATGGCCAACATCCAATTGGCCAAAGTAATTATCGTTAGCTGAAACTAAAGAAATGACGAAAACTAGAATAAAAAACTGAAGTAAAGATAAAAACCAGACCTTGCAAAAAAAAAAAAAAAAAAAAAAAAACATTCAAGAATGTGCTTAGTTTTATTTGCATCTTTATCACAATGCACTAATATAAGGCCTAGTTTCCAGTTGCAGGTTATTTGTGTTTCTGCAGATGTATATAGCCTTATCTTGGATTTTATTTTTATTTTTTTTGTCTAGCCCTCATTATACAAGTTGGATTATATAAAATACTAAACCTATAAGTGAAACCCCCCAAAAAACAAACAAAACTAACAAATACTAAAAATGAATTAAAACTAAAATAGAATTGAAAATCAGAAGTTAATAGTAAAAACCAATGAAAATTTCAAAACTATTTCAACCTTGCAAATTGCTATAGGGAAAGGGAAACACGGCGGGGGCTGCATCAGGCTTGGGGGAGGTTGTTCTTTGATGAAGATAGAATTTTGGTAGAAAGGTGGTATGAAGCTTCAGAGAGAACAGAATGGCAGATCTACTATAGACTTCCACCAAGATGGAAGCATGTTAACAATGGACCAGTGGAAGGTCAGAGCTAACTTCTATCAGAGAATGCTCACAGACACTCTCTGATCAGCTGCTTTTAGGTAAAAACAGAAAATCTGAGTGTCTGTACGAGCTGCAAAGCTGGTAAAGACGTAGATTTGAGATTTGATATTGATTAATTACTGACCCAGGGTAGCTGGCGATAAACACCAGCCACAACTTTGTAAAAAGTTTCACTTTACAACTATTGAAAACTTAAAACAAACCAAACAACACCAAAAGGTCTGCGGCTTTAATGTGACAATTTATTTTCAAATTTCTTCGATTAAATTAATCAAGTATTTTATAAGCAAGAAACATTTCATTAGAAATCTTGCATGTTTTCCCTGAAAAGGCTCAAACCTGCATAAATTAGGAAACGCGTGCAAACTAAGGCCCCCAAAACACCAGACAACACACCACTGCCAGCGATAATTAAATATTAAACACACCCGGTCACAACAATAAATTATTGCTGCAGAGTCTCTTTATTAGAGCTCCTGTCCCAAACTGCTTCATGAAAACTAAAGTGGAAACCACTCAGGTTGGAGGAGAACCTCCTCTATAGGAGCAGAAAAACATTTGGAACAATCAAGGCACTTTAAAATGCCAGACCTCTAACTTATGGAACTGTGTTGTTCCTCTAGAGAAAAAGGAAGCGCTCACCTCTGTTTTAAAAGTAGCAGCGTGTTCTTTACATCCTGGAAGTCCTTTAACAAAACCGGCCACCTACATGACAATAAAACCAAGAGAAAAGTGAGCTTGTTCAGGACAACATGTCATTCCTTTACTGTTCATCTGTGAAGATGCATGTATCATAGTGTTGTCCCTAATTTCCAAACTCAACATTCCTATACTTATTTAATCTGATTCATGCTGCGATAAGACCTATAATAGAAAAAGACAGGCACACAGCATTGAAAATATTTCCTGTAGTGTGGCGATGAACTGTCAGGACTTATTTAGTCCAGGAGAAAAGGCAGCATCACGCAGCCTGAGTGAGAGAGAGCCGCTGCTGTGAATCAGGGTTTTAGTAAAAAAGATAAAAAAATAGATTTTAACTTTATTTTCTTAGTGTTTAGCCTAGT